TCGGAATGGCAGCTTCAACTTGTCAGACGGGTCAGGCGAGAAGAAGTGAAGTTGCATGCCAAAGGCAGCAAGCCACTCCGCTGCATTTAGTCCTGTGAGAGTAGCGCTGGGCTGCATGCATGAAGGGCATATGTGTGTGCGTGTGTGTGTGTGTACACGTGCGGGCCTGCGTGTTAGGCTTGCTGCGTGCTCGATACACCCTCGCAGTCGCAGTGCCCTTCGAAGCTTGAAGTCGTTGTCAAGAAGATTTGCACCGCTGTAGTGTAGTGTTCCTGGTAGCAAGAGGACCTACATGAAAAGCTGTGAAGCCAACCTCAGCAGCATATCGCCAAGCCTCCATGTCAGGATCAATCAGTGCGTTCGAAGGCCATGCTGGGTTGCAAAGCGAAAGAGATTGGGTGACTGCGACACATAGAACAAGTCCTGAAGAGTTTGGAGAGAACAACATAGGACAGTTAAGTAACAGTACTGCTCGTCATTGCTGTGACATGATGTACACCGCCATATGTGTTGACCTGGAATACAACTCGTGATTCGTGAAGTTGTTAAACGCAAAACGGTAGTAGACCAAGGCAGGAGGAGCTCGCGATATGCTGTACATGAGGAGCCAGAGTCAACTTCGAGACAAGAAAATTAAACAGCTGCATTCACCACGTATTACAGACACGCAGCAGCTAGGCACAGCGCGCGATAGGAGGCCACGGATCAAGACTTCTACTACAGTACCGACTGACAGCAGGGGATCAGAACCATATAGATCCTAGTGGCCAGAAACAGGGCGAAAGCTACACATGAACGACACATTTTTTTGCCGTACCACCTTGCACGCACGCACAATGTCCTCGTGGGAGCGACTTGGACGCGGGCTTTCGGGACAGCCTTCAGGCCTTCCGTACTTCTCTTTTTTTCTCCGGGTATGTATGCGGCTGAAGACTTTCGAGTTGACTGATATCGGGTCTTGGTTTGCAGGCTGGGTTTGGCTGTGTAACGCAGTGGCTATCCGGCTTGAAGCCAAGCCTTGAAGTATTTAAAAAATCGGGAGCTTTCTTCAGTAGAAGATGTGCCGAGCAGGCTCACCTGTGGATATCCGATGCGATGGATCCCGGAAGTTTGTACAGTCGCACTTGCGACTGGGCTGGCTCGGATTTTCTGTGTTTTGGGAGCTTCGGGTATCGGGTTAGGGACGTGTGTTCGGGTTTACGGCTTGGGATCCCAGCTTTGAGGCGGACTCCCTGTACATCCGCTGCCCTTCAAAATCGCGATGAACCTGCCTATCCTACGTTGAATGTAGAAGGTGTGCAGCTGCGGCAGCATCCACCCACGCATAGGATCAGACCTCCATCTCAAGATCGTGTCATCGGACGTTGGCTCAAGCACTGCGTGCCCGCCCGCAAATCGGCACGCAGCAGCTCGTTTGGCCAAAGCGCGCTCCCAGATGGACGCTAAACGACCCAAGTCCTGAAGCGAAGCCCCAAAGAAGGAAAGCACAAGCCCAACAATCATTTAAGTTTGAAGCCTAAATGCTTCTTCGTCCAAGCTCGCCCAGGTCCGGCCAAAGGCACCGTAGAGCATTCAGCCATTGAATGCAATGGAGATTGCGAGGATTTGGACTTTTGCAACCTGCAGCCGAGTAATGCTAGCAGTAACAAGAGCACTTTCAGCCGCGTTTGAAGTAGCGGTAGCGGCGGAGTATGGCTTAGTAGCACGAGCGCAGGCAGCAGGCTCGAGTAGCAGTAGTAGTAGGGGTAGGCATAGGGTTAGGCATATGCATAGGACGAAGAGGAGGAGCAGGAGTAAAAAATGTTGTAGTAGTAGTAGTAGTAGCAGTAGTAGTCCAACTAGTGGTCTTATAGAGGCAGTAGGTGTAGGAGTCGGCGCAGGAGTGGGAGCTGCAGCAGCAGCAGTAGCAGGTTCAAGTTGCCCACACAGTGCTGCATAGCAAGGATATCCAGCATAGGGACGGTGCCCATGACGACCAGCCAACCCAGAAACCTCAATGTGTGGTCTTACCCGAATCCTTCCGCAGCTCCTCGCACAAGTCGGCTCGCGCGGTGTGGAATACTGGCCGTGGGAACTTCGGCGAAACTTAAGCTTCGTGGGCCTTGTGGGTTGTGGGATTAGGACCAGGAACCCAAAAAGGAGTCAAAGGCTTTCTGGAGCTTTCCACCTCCTGCGCGAGCCGTCTCAGGCGGCCGAATGCACCAAGCCACGGCTGCTGGAAGTCCTCCAGTGGGCTTCACTACATGGCCCGGTAGGACTCTCGACTCCCCAAATCCCCAAACCTAATCCCTGGACTCGGCCTTTGAGCTGAAGACCAAACGCATGAGCTGAAACAAAGCCACTCATGACAGCAACCCCTCTCCTCGGCTGTGAACTTTGGAGCTGCAGTTCTCGTGGTTCATCAGTGTCTAGTCCACACAGCAAACCTTTGCAACCATACTCATCGTACCTAGCACATACACGTAGGTCGGTCATATCCGTTGCACTCAACCGGGCCATGACACCGATCCTGAACCCCGTGGTAGCCAGAGATGCTCTTCGGCGGTGTCAGGATGACATACGTGCCGCATGCAAGGCTTCAGGAACCCAGGAAGGACCCTCCGTCTGTAAATCTAGGAATCTAGGGTGTGTCGTTTAGGGCTGTCGGGCCTAAATGTTAAATGCTCACATCGGATTGGGGAACAAGGTGGCAGGATTCCGGGTGCGGTAACAGTTCACGGAGGACGTCTGTCAGGCTTGTGGGTTGGGGGTAAAAAACCTCTATTGCGGTGTGAGGAGCTCCAGCTTCGGCTGTCAACAATTATCTGAGGATCTGAGGCTTCAACTCCGAACCGTAGTCTGAATCGATCCCGCTTGCTCGGCTCCGCTTCATGGTATGGGGCACGTAGATGAGAAGCTTCAACGAACGTATCAGCACGCCCGCTGGGCCAAACAGTTCTTGTCCGGTCAACCCACCCACGCCTTTTCCAAGGACACAAGTCATAAGCCAGAAAATGTTGAGAAGCATGTGACCTGGCGCCTAAAGGCCCAGAGTCAGCTGGTTTTTCGAGGTCCCGAAGCTCTGCATGCATAGGTCCCTGGCAACACGGCCAATGGTGTGGACTGACCACAGTGCGTCGCCCACACGGCCGCAGTCTGTTTTCCTGACTTGATTTCAATGCTGTCGGCTGGTCGAACACCTCCCAAGTCCGACTCCGACCAGTGGTTGCAACGTGAGGTGGCATGCCAATCTGCCAACCCTTCTTCAGCCTTTCCCGAAGAAGCCGGCAAGGCCAAGCAGCGCCAACCTGCAGACCCCAGAAGTGGCCCCGAAGACCGAACAAAAACTCAAGTCGACATCGCCCACAGTCAGACTTCCCCCCAAGCATCGCCTTTTCTTTAGTTCCTGTGGGCACCTTTGCAAGACAGTCAACGAGTTGCGCTTTGGTGACCCGAGGCATCTTCAGCCAATCCGACATTTGTTGCTCTCCTTTTTTTGGGGGAGTTTTGCTCCACAGAGGAAACCTGTCTTCCCCGAGCCCCCCGAGCCTCACCTGAATGTCAGGGTCCGAGGAGTCCCAGAATCCCGGAAGGTGTCCATGGACTGGCAGCCACAACACGAGTCACAAGAGGTAGCGTTTTGAGGCGGGGGCATGACTGAAAGTCCATGCTCTTGCCAAGATTGTTTCCCCGAGTTTGTGGACTCAGGAGTTTTGGCGCAGGCGTGCGATATTCAGGGTTTAGTGTTGTGGCATGTACGGGGACAGTCTAGAAGTGCAAGCTTATGCCGCAGTTGTAGGATTGACTTGAAGGCTTCGTTCTTACACATCTAGTCACGTGTTCTTAAATGCCACTCCTTTTTCGAAGTGTGTTCGTCTTCCCCAAAAGCTGTGGCATCTCGTCAGCAGTACTGTCATTACCACTACGATGTTCGCCTGTTCCCCGCAGCTTCCGGAAGCATGCCGCCGTGCCAATGTTTGGCCCCAAACTCCTCCAAGCCGCAGCCTTGTTGAAAATCCCTCTGTGGCCCCATGCTCAACCGACCACACCTCAAGCTACGAATTGGGTGACACCTGGCAGCTCACTTTGCTTCAGCACCGCCTTGGGAACCTTGCGCAGAGGATCCATGTGTTGACCACCTGAAGCCGGAAGCCTGAACCTTCATCCCTATCCGTTTTACAGCCCCCTGAGTCGACATCAGCAGCCCGGATCAGCATCTTCAACAACTGAAGCGCTGCATCACTGGGTCGCAGCTAGAGCGCCCGAGGCAAAAAGATCCAGGATGCTCCAAGATGCGATAAGAATGATAAGGAAAAGTGATGATGCTGATGGTTCTGGTGTTCCCCGCTTGGTCTATTAGGCGACGGCGTTGTTGTCTTGTTGATGATTGCAAGGATGATGACGATTTTGATAGCCGTGATGATTCTTGCAGAGTCTGCCTACTTGCAATGATCTACGCATCAAGACCGCGCAGAACGATTCTACATTCTACATGCTGGACGAATAATTCTGTTGCTTGGGAATCTCTGCCCGGGTGAAGGAACTTAGCTCGTCGCGGGGTGCTGCCTCATCAGTCGCAGCTTTCTTGGTGCTGAGTATTTGGTTGCACTGGCGTCGCAATCGCCTTACCAGTCGTGGTTGTAGCAGTAGTCCCAGAAGTCGAGATCGATGTCAATCCCGATGTCGACGTCGTCGTCGTCGTCGTCGTAGTAGTAGTAGTAGTACTGCTACTACTCCTACTACTACTACTACTACTACTACTACTACTACTACTACTACTACTACTACTACTACGAGTACTAGTACCAGTACTTGTTCTTGTACTAGTACGAGTAACTAGTAACTAGTAACTAGTAACTAGAAGAAGAAGCTGCAGCAGTAGTAGGAGTCGGGGTAGCAGTAGCAGTGCGGGCAGGAAAAGTAGGAATAATTAGTAGCAGGTAGTAGTCATGTGCATGCTACATCAAGTTTTACGGGCTTCTCCTGCGTGTCTGATCCAACATGTCTTTCATTTGTGGCAGGCGGCTGTGTCCATGGAGCGGATCCAACGCTCTATTCATGATGTGCTGGACCTGAGACGCGCGAAGGCGAGACTGGTGAAATTGGGATCCAGAGGAATTGCGTTTCGGATTTCTGGCTGCGGCAGTTGGCAACGGCATGGAGGTCATCTTGATTGCAGAGCTGAGCTCTCTTTCCTTCTGCTACCGCTTCCGCAGCATATGCACCCGGTGAATGCGACAACGACAGTACTAGCATAAGTAGTGACAGCCGGAGTAATGCCAAGAAGGCAGTGAAGTTCGGATCTCGGTAGCCGTCTGACAGACTGTGTCTGCAACTGATGCTTGCAGCGGCTTTATGTTTACGGCTTTCAATGTCCATGCGTCCAAAGACTTTGTAAAAAGCGGATGCCTCCAGTTCGTTGTGCAAGCTGTCGCAGGTGTAAAATGCCATCCTTAGTTTCTTTCGATCGTGAATGGTCCGTCACAGCTTCGCCAAAGCTACTCACGCCCTTGTCGCGAAGATATCGGCGCTGAAAGTCATGATGAGAACTTTGTGGATTCTTGATGATGATGATGATGATGACGATGACGATGAATTGATGTCGAAGATGACAATGCCGACGATGATGATAGTGAAGGCCATGAGGCTCATGATGATGACGATGATGATGGGGATGACCATCAAGATTGTGATGAATTTGATAGCGTTTTTTTGTGGCGGTGGTCATGGCCATGGCTATCAATTCTCACAGATTCTGACGCTGATGGCGATGGCCTCGACGACGATGAGGAAGATGAGGAAGGTGATGATTAATGAGTTGCATGGTGATGATGGGTATAACGGCGACCATTATGGTGATGATGTTGATGACAAAGATGCTGATGTTGATGGTAGGGAAGCTACTTGCAACACTATAGATGACGACGGTGATGGTAGTGATTGAAGGTGGTGATGATGACGACGATGACGACGGTAATGATGTCTGTTGCCGCTCCTTGTGGGGCACACCTCCTGCTCGGTGTTAGCACACGATAGGATCGTTTTCAAAGTCTCTTTGCTTCATGTCTGTTGCCCTTCCTCCAGTTTGGTACGGCAGGTTCCGAATCTCTATCGGCTCTCCGACGCAGTGACCTCGGCTCGTGACACTTTGGAAAGCTCCAAGCCGTGCAGGTAGTGGCAGTGGTAGTGGAGGTAACAGCGGATGTGGCAGCAGTGGCAGTAGCGGTAGCGGCAGCAGTAGCATCAGCATCAGCATCAGCAGCGCAGCTGCAGCGGCAGCAGGAGCAGGCACAGAAGCAGGAGCAGCAGCGGTGGCTGGGAGCGACTGGCGGTGGTGGTGGTGTTGGTGCTGGTGGTGGTGGTGTTGCTGCTTCTGGTGGTAGTGGTGATTGTGGTGCTGGTAGTAGCAGCGCTAGTAGCACGAGGAGTAGGAAATACAGGGGTGATGGTTACTCTGTTGTTCATTGGCTTCAGCTCCGTCAACTTTCGTCACATCCCATCATCACCATCATCATTTCGATCATTTCTCATTTCCTTCATGTTTACCCCGGTCTTCCTGACCGCAGCTGTCAGCTGCGTATCACCCGTTGATGGTCGCGTGAGACAGACGGGCAAGATTTAGATTCAGGCAGCGCTGATGAAGGTGCTCCGGTTTGGTCCGGCACTCGGAATGATCTGGTGTCCTTACAAGTCGAAATCTTTCGGCGCAGGGATTCTGGCTAGCAGCCTGAAGACTCCAGGACAGAGGTGACACTCAGAAGAGCTGGCAAGCCAGTGCTAGCACAAACACTGACCAGTGTTGTAATGCAGTGTTTGAAGCTTAGTTGATTTTGCCCCCGGCCTTGTTCTACCAGCTTGTTTGTCGTGTTCCGCTGTTTTCTTGACGGACAGTCTCTTCTCAGCAGACCAGCATGCGATTCTGGGGCAAATCACGGCTCTACTTTGGAGCAGCAAAACCTAGTCCCGAATCCTTGCCGACCGACGCTTCGAAACATGCGACCGCCTCTAGGCCCTCATGATAGCATTTCCGCTGAAAGACTCTTCTAGGCCGTAGCCAAGGTCACAATCCCGCGGAGCCGGCCATCCGAGATTGCCTCCCAGGCTTCTGTGGGGATAGAGTTTCTAGGTTTGCGGGGAGATTGCAAACAGGGGATTCTGAAATATGTGCGTCTTTCGTTGTGTGAGGGTGAGGGGTATCACAGGATTGTCGTTGTGTCCGCGTGTTTATGGCTACCAATGTGCCAGTCTGATCATCTGCTGCTACAGTTTGCATCTGGCTGTCATCTCCGCTCTGGAAAGTGAAACGATCCTACGCAGCTTGGGCCTTGCGAGACACGTCGTCGACCAGCGGCAGTGCAGGTGCCCGAAGCTCCAGAGTTTACCCTGTGAAGGCGTGCTTACTCTGGATGTGAGCGCCAGCACCTTCTCGCTTGCACCTCAGGTCCTCGGGTCAGGTCGTTCGCGAGCGGTTAGTGGATGCTGTGTTTTTCGACGTAGCCGTCTAAGCTGGATGGACTACGGACTAAGCTCGACTTTTAGCTTCTGTGCAACATGAGCCTTCTTTCCCCTTGTTGTCTCGTTTGATTTGAAAAGTCGGCAAAGGGATGATTCTTGATTCTTGGCGGCTCCTGAAAATTTGCTTCGTCCCTGTGTTGTGGCTCCCAAGCCGGACAAAGCATCTTGCTGTGGCAGTTTCAAGCAGGGAGAGAGACAGAGAGATAGCATAGTCTATTCGTGAAGGGGCTTCGCGCCCTGGAGCCACACAATAAGCAAGCCAGCAAGCAAACAAAATCTCCCAAGTCTCCGACTCGAGCTAACGTTACACCACTCCCGGCTTCTGTCAGAGCTCAGAGCCCAGGGATGGCAAGTCCGTGCGAGCGATCGTGGGAGACTCTGGTCGGGAATCCCAGAAGCCTCCTGGGCAGGAGCTGTAGCCTCCGGGTTACGGCTTGAGGAAACATGCAAACCTTGACTTGAGAGGGCTAAGTTTCAGCAAGGCTTGTTGGGCCTGAAGGCGCCCGGCTCCCGCGAGTCTTAGGTTTTCTTTGCTTTGTGAAGGCCGGGCCTGTTCGCTTGCAGGGTCCTTTGCTGAATACAAGGCATCCCGGCCTCCGATCCAGACGCCATGTCAACCACGGCAACAAGAACGAATCCCACTCTACACTTCTAAACAAGCAGTGACCCGCAGCTCTAACAAGGCCTCAAAACCCGAACAGGTGAGTATCTCTCGCTCCCGGAGGAGGTGGTTGTTCAGGAGACGCCTTGGGGATTTCCCAAAGACGACGGTGGTTTTGGTCTGCTGTTTTCCAGCCAGGTTTCGCTTGATTTCTGTTGTGGGCTTTGTCGTTGTTTTTGTTCGGCCCATGCACGCTTCCAGACTTTGGCTTCTTCTCGGGGTCTGACGGCCTCACCATGTCTGAGCCTAAATCGAAGACCCCAAACTGCCGAAGAAGAAGAAGAGCTTATCTGGAGGTTATCAAGTGCATTTAGGAGGTTTTGTGCTGTACTGCAGCGCGGTAAGACCATAGAGATAGTCTGCTGCAGTCGCACGCATTTTGTCACTAGGACTTGAATGGAGTTCTCGCTCGAGTCAGCAGTCTCGAACCCCTGGGCCTGACGTTTGTCGGGCCCCCGGGCCTCGAACCTAACCGGAGCGAAGCTCACATCGCTCCAGCAAAGCAAGCCTCGCTGCGGAGGAGGGATCCCAGATCGAGGACGGGACAAGCGGTCCTCGTTTTGCCACGGGATCATGTCTACACTCTACACACAAGAGTTGCGGACAAGACATGCATCTGAAAATGCGTAAGACAGAGAGTGCTTGGCGGGTCATGTGCTTTTGTAAGGTCAAGAGAGAACTTGAAAATAACCAACCTTTGGATGTCTATGAGGGGTTATCAGCCCCCGTCTGTTTTTTTTGGTTTGGCCCGGGTGTCCCGCGAGATTTACTTCCGCTTCTTTCGTTTCGTGCGGGTCTGGATGGATTAAAGGCCTGTCCGTCGGGGAGGTATGATTTGTACAAAGCCGTTAACATCTGAGTCACGACAGCGACGCCAATGTGCAGACGAAAGAAAGGCGCCCATGTAAGCCGTCTTAACAGCATGCTCGTACTTGGACAGTGACCGAATCACTCATGTCGCAACTGTTGCAGAGCATATTTGGTCTGTACATCAGTCTGGGCCTGTGCGGCGATACGCTTGAAGCGGAATCTTGCAGCGATGCGCCCCTGCAAGTTCTTGGCACTGAGGGCCCTGTGTGGAGTTGCAGTGCAGAAGTTTTTCGTTTTTTTTCAGATTGTGCTTTGGCCCTGGCCTTGGGCTGCGGTTGCACCTGATGACAAGACTTGATTTTGGGTTCGGCATGTTATATGACTGGAAAGATGCACCGGTTGAAGTTTTAAGCACAAGCTATCGTGAACTGCTCAAGCTAGGCAGGTGTGAATGTGTGGTTCCAGGAATGCTCATTCATCCATGTCCATGTCCCATAGACACAGCACTGGAGTCCTGACGAACCATCATAGCCCGTTTAGCCCGACTAGGGTCGAGCTAAATTCGGGTCCCTGTCCCAAACTCGGAACTGATCCGCGAGGTGAAGGTCCTCCTAGACAGCCTAAGCCAAGCGACCAAAACGAGAGGACTGGCTGCCCAAACTCTTGGACATGATGTCGCCCGGCTTCAACCAAAAGCATTCGGAGGCTATCATTGAAGATCGGGTGTCTGGCAGTATGCGGGGTTAGTCACGGATAGTCACGGATGGTGATACTGGTAGCAAGACCGCAAGACCATGCGAGACTGTCAGGATTGTTCGGACGTGATGAGTTTCCTCGTTTGGCCTCTGCTCCGTGGCCAAGGTCACGATTGCTGCGATGGACACTCTCAGGCCCATGCCGCAAGCCAGATGGCCTTATCCAACAGGAAGTGGAAAGTCCCTCATCAGCTTCCTTGCTTTGTATGGTGCGTTCGCATGTAAGTGCACAGCACCGGAGCTTCACACCCTCCTTGCAACGCGGCGGCTCGCGCGCTCGGAGGCCTGATGCTCTCCAACTTCGGGCCTTCGGATGCGCGGCTCCTCGACGAGAAGTACGCGCTGCAGGCGCTGGAAGGATGGGGGCACATCCTCTAGGGGGCCTAGGGCTTCCTGTCGTGGGCGTTGGGGCGGGCTTGGCTTTCTGGTAGGTTTTGTGTGCGCCAACACGCGGCAAACATGAGCTGAGAGAAAACTACAGAGAGGACATGCCTGTTGACGAAAGCGAGTCACTGATATACTCACAAAGAAGCAAGATGAGGGCAGGAGAAGAGGAAAGCAATGACTACTGCGACATCCGCAAACACGCACGTACACAATACGTATAATCATGAAGGGATGACAGCGGAGGTTAGGTACAGCTTCCACGGGTTTAAAACAACCGAAGCGGGAAGAAGCAGCCAGGAGCCCATTCGTGTCGGTGCCACGTCTGATTCCAGTCCAATGCAATGTCGGCGGATTGGGGTTTAGCGCACAAAAACGTGCACCCTGAATAGCCGCATCGTCGTCATGAGACAAACCTTGGACGGCGCAGAAACACCTGAACAAGGCGTAAGCTTCGAGAGATAGCTGAGCCTCCAATGTGAGTGACAAATGCGGATTGGTAAGGCCCTCGGAATTAGTAGTACTTGCATACATCTAATGCATCAAGACTCAGCCCAAGCTACAGCTTTACACACGCATGACAGTGAGCATAGCTCAACGGAACCCAGTTGTATACTCATGCAGAACGTTGTAAAGGTGAGAAGTGCCGCGCTCGACCTGGCGTACACCTCCGAGGTGAATGTCAGATGTCGGAAGGACAAATTAGAGCCTGGCGTTTCGGAATCTTTAAGTTCAGTTTTTGGGGCTTCTTACATCAGTCCGAGTGTGCTTCGGCCTTGAGGCTTCAAGTTGTGTGCTCTTGCTTTTTGATCCTCTGGGTGTGGATGGACTGGTGCTCCAGGGTTTAGGACTTTTGGCTGCATGCGTCTGTTGAGTTCTTGATTGTTGACAGCAGATCACGGCTCCTCTATGTAATTGAGAGAAACCAAGGATCGACAAGTGTTGTCCTAGTCACTTAGTCTCTTAGTCTCCGTTCCTCAATCCTGCCTGGCCCTAAATCCCGAGTAACAAACACAGCAAGCCCTAAAGCCTAAACCCTCCCCCCAACGTTCCGAACGAACCGCAGCGTCTCGTCAGAACGTCGCCACGTTGAACCGAGAACGAAGGCTTCGCCCCAGGAGCAAACTTCAGGGCCCCGGAGCCGCCCCGCCCCTCCCAAGTGGTGGACGCTGCTCCCACCGCCCTCAACGTCCAGTCCAAGGGAGTTCAAGAAGGGAGCCTTTGGAGAGAGCACGGTAAGCTTACTGCCATGTTCGTAAGGCCCCCGGGTGCTGCCCAAAGCCTGCGACGCTCGCAGAACCCTAGATCCCCTACATGCACCGGAGCAGCAAACGCCTGGCAATCTGACATCAGATCGAGTCCGTCTTGTCCGAGGGCGGCAGCCGAAGCCTTGGAGTCTTGGAGCTTCGGCTTTTGAGGGCTCAGAAACCTTCATCCTGAGTGTTTCTTGGAGCCAGGCAGTTCTTGTTTCGTTCTCTTGCTGACACGAGATTGCCCTTTCACGCCGAGTTTGTCACTTTGGAGTGCACGGAGGTGGCACGCTTCTGCAGCAGAAGAGGCCAGGTCCACAAGTCTCTTGAGAACTCCAGGTGAGCAGCAGGACCGGACGAAATGAAACAGTATCTGGGGCGCAGGCTGGCCATCTGTCAGATGATCGATCAACTCCAGGAGAAGCGCATCCAGGCCAGGCAGCTCCTTGAAGCCCTGAAGCGCCCTGAAGCCCTGCTTCCTGCTGTCGCCCCATCCATACCTGCACGCACGAGCTATATAAGATCCTAAAGTCCACAGTTGCGGCTCCATACATCTCAGAAGTGTCTTCGAGACATCGCTGTCGCCAGGGCGTGGAGGCTGAGGGCCGTGGCATAGACTTCGTCCGGATCCCTGGGTTCCGGAGGGCTTGCGCTTCAGGGCTTTAGCCGTTTTGATGCTTCCGTTGCGGTGCTGACGCTTTTCTCCTCGATGCTCTGTACTGGTTGTGAAGTTTGTTGGACATTTTTTGGATTCGCATGCATGCAAGTGTGATCTAGTGATGTAAGACTGACTGAAACATTTGATTCAGGACTAGCGGCCCTAGTGTGGCTATGCCGACCACCCTGAAAGCTGAGGATCAAAAGGAACAACTCGTCGGTGGAGGAAGATGCATCACGTGGATTGTTCATGTTTGACTATAATCAGATAGACTCGGAGTTTGCTTGTAGTATTCCGTGTTGTAGTGCCCGGTACCACGACAGCTTTCGTTGCCATTGTTTCCTACACCGCATCTGAGTCACACAAAGGATGTTTGAGACTTTCCCTGCATCTTGAATTCAGTTCGTTCGGCCTCCAATATCACAGCACACCCCAGCATTGCATACCCGGCACTCAGGAGGGTTTCATAGAGGAGGAGAGCAGCGAAGAGGCGCACGCAAAACAAGACCGACCAATCAGAGCCGGGGTGAGGTCAACTGACCGGATGCGACTGCTGCTCTTATCATCTTGTCAATACTACACATATTGGATGAGTCTCGATGATATTGAGGCTTGCAGAAGACGGGCGGACGTCAGATCGCATGGCAGGAAGAAGAGGAAGAATCCGAGGAGACGGAGTCCGACACCGACAGCGACATGGATGATGAGGCCTGCATTAGCAAACCTTACGCCGACCGGGCCTTTGGTAGTGGTGTCAAACAGCGACCGCAACACAGGAACGAATATTGTTTAGATCTACCACAGGGCCGGGAAGACTTGAAGCCTAAAATCCATAAGTCCTCCCCGAACGGCATTGTGGGTGTAGGCTTCAGGGCTCTACTGTCAACGCAAGTTTAGATGTTGGAATTGGTGGAACGTTGAGTCCAGACCTGCCATTTTAAGAAGAGTTTCTTGAAGATGCCGTTTGATTATTTTGCGCACACCCACACAGTTTACGAAGCCCTACTACAAAAGAAGCCTTGCTTCCAGACTTGCAATCATCAGCAGTGCACCACAACCCTGGACTCTTATGAATCACAGTTGTAGCCGCAGGATGACATGGAGGAGGGAGATGAAGAGGAGGAGCGAGCATGCGCTGTTCCGGCGGGCATGAGTTCTGTTTGTTATTTCAGGGTTTGGTTGGGGCATCATATAGGCTCCTTGGGAACACTCCCGAAGTTCACTGTTTTCCTTCTGGAATGCAATAGGGACGAACTCCTAGTTCCCGTGAGCCCAGTACTGTGAAGATTCGGCTTTGTGTACATTGTATTCGTGTTGTTCATGAAATTTTGGTTGGGCAGGCTGCAGTCGCATGCCCAGCATCATTTGCACAGTCTTGTGTCTGTCTCGTAGAAGCTACGTCAGATGGGTTTTGTTTCAGACTAGACTCCTCCTCAAAGGCTGTTTTGCCCTTGGGGCGCACCGTGCGCGGGTGGAGAGTGGTCTGTAGTCAGGGTTGAAAGGCTTGGGATTTTCGAGAGAAGCTTCGACGACGAGCATTCATCGCTCACCTTGGAGAGCTTCCAAAGGCGACAGGCCTGTAGCACGGGACCTCAGCTTCATCCCAAGGTTCGAGGCCCCAGACGAAGACAGCTTCTGGATTCGTGGTTGTTTTCACCGCCATAGCCCGTATTGAGAAATCCCCTACAGAGTGTAGCAGATTTCTGCAGCCTGGGATATGACTCGGCCCATAAAGAGCCACTTCCTCATATCGTTATATAACCCTGCTACACAGCTTATTTGCAATAAATTAGGGACCCCTGCCCATCAGATGGGGATACGAAGGAAAAGCTAAGTCAACGCGATTTGACGAGGGACGCCCAAATCCCAACCGAATGGAGGAACTCTCTGAGGATGAGTCTGTTTCAGCGGAGGCCCCCGCAAGTTCTGGCTTTCAGAGCTTTGAAGGGGCTCGCTCCGGCTTTGGGTGACCGCTGCTTCTTGGAAACTCACCAGAAGGAGTGAGCGTGCCAAGTGCACCCATGCGCTTTATGTCGTGCCGTGTATCTATTTCAGGCCCCGAGCTTTCCTAGAACCCGGGCCGGACGATGCACGTCCCAGCATGAGGGTGAAATCCGAGGCACCAATCACACCACCAGGCACGCCTCATGGTCAGCAGCACCAGCACTAGAAATCAGGAGCCTGGGATAAGATGTTGTTGTAGATGATGATGATGATGAAGAAGAAGAAGATGGTTAAAGTATACTGTTGAAGATGCCGAATGTGATGCTAAAGAGGAAGATGATAACGCTGGTAACAGCGCGCGCATTTTCTCCATATAACTATGCACAGCCGCAGTTAGCACGGGGCGCTTTGGCCCTCTATAGGCCTGATGTGCTGTGTGTTTCGATTATGTGAAGCTGGAGACAGCTTTGAGAGCTTGTAGACTACAGGTTGGAGGGAGCCATGGGCTATCTGCCCTGCACGTACCTTCCTACCCCTTTAGCCTTCTTGTTTAGTGACCTAGGCTGGCTGGGTTCTTTCCGTTTGAAGCATGCAAAAACTGTAAGCCCGACATTCTGCAGGCCTCAAAAGTGCCGAAGCTTTCACTGGACTCTTATCAGGAGGCTAGCGCCGCCGATAATACCGTCGAGCGCCGGGCCCCAAGCAACAGTAGAGTAGTAGAGGTTCCGAAAGAGCATTGCGGCATGCTTGATGAACGTGATGTCGTGGTTGTGGTGAGTGCACCATGGTCGAAACAAACACATGGTGCGAGTGTCTTTGTTCATGTGTCCTTGAATGTGTATAGTGTGACGAATTGGGAACGGCGGCTATCCCTCTCGACGCTGTGCAAGAGAACGGCTCAGAGGTAAACCGAACTCCAACTCACAAACCAGAGCTTCGAGCCGGCTTGTTTGCGCTTTTTATGCTTCCCTCTGACCTTGCAATATGCAGTATGCGTCGGCACTCATTCGTGTGCTTAGCACAAAGACTGTTTCATAAGTCTGCAAGTTGTGACAGTGTGGCTGCGCCGGTTTATGTGCACCACTGTGATGCATAGGATGTGCACATGTACATAGGCCTGGACATCTGGCAGCTTGTGCTGCCTTGCTATCTTGAGTGGAATGGGAACTCTTCGTTCCACGGTTGGTTGCACAGTCGGAACCCTGAAAGTGCAGCCTGTTCTGTCCCAGCTTGAAGGTACGATGACAGCCAGGAAGGCAGCACCGATGAGCGGGGACTTTTCCGGCTGCTTTCGAGTTTCTGCCCTTTGCTTTGCGAGTTGTGCCCGGCTGCTCTAAGGTCAGTGCTTCACGAGTTTGGCACTGACTGCACTGAGAAACTCCCATCGTGATCTCGCAATCATGGTCCGAATCAAGCAGCAGCAGCAGCAGCAGCTGCTGTTGCAACAGTGTTGGTTGTGGAAGCAGGGGCAAGCGCCGTTATCGTACAAACAACCTAGTCGCGGTACTGGCTAATCAGGCTACGGCTGTTGCTGCACGTTGCAGCCCTGTCTCGAGGCTGTTCGCCTCGAGCCGCCCCTGATGAGCCTGCATCTCGGTTAGCCCCAAATGTGTCAGAATTGACTCAGAGCTACGTTTTTGCATGAGGCTGTTGGAGCAGGCTTTCAGGATGCAGGTCGTGCAGGTTCATGGCTCTCTCGAGTCTTGGCACGGGTCATTCGCTCGTAGTTGCAGCACTTGCAGTGTAATCGGTTGATTCTGGCTTCGCCCCAGTCGGCGCTCCGTAAATCCGTAAATTGTTATTGGACACCGATGTTTTGTGAGCGGTCCCACGAAGCCACAAGAAAAGGACACACGTTACTGTGAGGTAAACGCCCTCGTGATTGTTCTAAAAACCAAAGAAACATCCGGTCTATACAGAAGTCAGATTGCAAGGCATTGTTTGGATGATAGTCATGGCGGTTGAAGATGAAGACGGTGCTGAGCATGAGGATGATGTTGCCATTGCCAGGCATGATGAAGATGAGCATGGGTGCGATGCGGATGATGATCTAAGTGGATGGCCAATATGGCAAGCAACTGTTCGAGGCTGGCGGTTCCAGCTTTGTGTGATCCGTGCCTCCTCCGCCTTCGTCTCTCACTGCTGTCGCTGCAGTCAATACTTGTAGCTGTGATTGGGATGGTGCCCTTGCCGTTGGTGTTGGTTGTGACGGTGTTTTTGTTCGACGGCCGTCTGGACCGCCCCCGAGTCCGTGTAGATGGTCGTCTCGACCAAACTGCGGGCACACACAGTTTGCATATCTATCGGCGACGTCAATGACGAACTAGAACTAGAAATGCAGCTGGAGGTGCATGACCAACACCTTCATACCGTCAGCAGCCTGTCATGGACTTCTCGCAGGTCCATCGCACCGCGCCTCCACCCTGGTGGACTCGAAGACCGTCTCTCCCCCAAGCCGTGGTGGCATTGTCAGGTTGTTGGTTTTTTCATTCTAGGAAACAGTCAGAACGAGAGATGATGATCGTGAGAGGCCAAGGATTTCACGAGCACTCCGAAGAAACATTCGTAGCATTGTCAAAGCCTCCATGAATGCTTGCACGTTGTCAGGTTTGGGTTCAGGACCGCAGGGGCCTGGGGTGTGAGTGTAATCCTGTGTCCCAACGCATGACTTCGTAAAGCTTGAGCCCGCAACCAAGAATCAATTTGTGGAGGAGAGCTCAAACTCTATACCTTTGCTTCATGGGACCCCAAGCCTTGAGAATCGTCGAACCCTGAAGTCCTGAAGCACGTCTTGAACATTGGAAGCCCTGAGAGACACCTCGGCGCCTCAGGCTGGCGAGCGCGGGGCAGCGAAACCCAAGAGCAGGCGCTACAACGCTGCAGGAGGACCCAGCCGGGAAGGCAAACTTCCTTCTTCCGGCAGTTAGGGTTCAGGTCTGGTCGTCCTTTGGGTTCGGCCTTGGGTTGCAGCTCAGGTCCTTCAGTCCTTTAGGCTCCAAGGCATGGCTACGAGGTGGATCTGGCCCTGCAGCGAGCAGGCCCTGAAGTCTGAAGGGGAGGCGAATCAAGGGAACGAGCTTTCAGAGATCAGCTGAGCGGTCAGAGTGGTCGTATGCTTCTCCTCAGTCTTGTCATTTGCGTCATACCTTCATGACACACACACACACACGCATATCCTTCATGACGAACTATCGGTATCATCCTTGTGATCCTGAGGCTACCATTCGCCCGAACGCTGTTGTAGGTCGAGCCACCAAGATGAGGACATGCGCATTAACGTCTCGCTGCTGTGGCACGCTGGCATGGCTTCCGGCCATTTGTAGTTGATGAGCTGTGCCCTCAACGTCCTTGGTCTCTTAGGCTGCCAAACACTTGCCGGAGACGGTTTTGGCCAAGGCAGTTACCTGTGCGAGTTGTGCACATTGAGTACGGGCCCGATGCAGTTGGATGTCTTGATTGGGCATCGGTGAAGGGTCCACCGCAGGATCATATTTGCGTCGCAGAGTGTGGCTTGCGCAGAAGGAATCGTCGTGTGAGCTTCGGTGGTCTCTGCCAAAGTGGATGTATCTCATCTACGTTGTAGCGCTAGCCGGTCGGCAAGGACACCTATAAGAACAGCTTGCTCATCAAAACGCAAGCGCTACACCAATCATTACTGTAAAGTGTCCTGCCGCTAAGTTATGTCCAAAGTGACCAGTCTTGTCTTGCCGTCAGATGCCCTGGCGGCTGTTTCAGCGCGGATCCCCGGAGTCATGTTCGTTTGCCGTTCAATACTTCCGATTCCGGTGCTTGGCTGCCTGGCTGCCTGCCCGTCTGTCCGTCCTGTCTGTCCTGTCTGTCCTGTCTGTCCTGTCTGTCCCGTCTGTCCTGTCTGTCTGCCTGCTTGCTAGTCTGTCCGTGCTGCCTGTCTGTGAACACATGCGTGTGTAAGTATTTATGTCTGCCCGTTCGCTCGTGCGCGTGTACTTGTATACGTTTATGTATCTATCGAGTGTGCACGTAAGCATGTACGCATGTAGACCCTAACCCTACTTGTGGATGGTTTTGCTAGTACGTGGAGTAATGTGATCTCCTGATTAGTAAACCCCCTCCCCCCCGAACATCCTGGGCATTAGTGGGGGGGTCGCCTCCCTGATCATCTTCAGTTGTTCTGGTGTTTGGGGTCCGGGATCTAAGTTGTTTGGGGGCCGGGGCTCTCAGTTGTAGTAAGTAGTAATTAGTAGTACAGTAGTACAGCAGTAGTACAGCAGTAGTACAGTAGTAGTACAGCAGTAGTACAGCAGCAGTACCTCTGTCTCTCCTTTTCCAGGGCGTCACTTTGTAGTAGGAGTGTTTATTCAACGAAACCTTAAAAATGAAACCGGGATGGGAATTGCGACTATTGGGGGGAGGGTTTATTGTTACGTGCAGCTCGAGTTTAGCTCTATTGAGGGGGCCTTTCCACTATTGAGTTCCGGGCCGAGTTTAGCTCTATTGAGGGGACCATTACTGATCACGAGCTCCCATCATGCAGTGTCATGTCTACATCAGCAGGTCGTTTCTTTTGGCGAAGAGAGGCTCTCAATAATACGGCCCTTGGTTTGTTGCTCGTGCTTCTGTGGACTTTCTGGCTTGGCAACTGAGGAGGATGATAATACTTTGTGCGGAGCCTCAAGGCTGGGTTAAGCCCCGACCAACGCAAAGCTAGCATTGCAGTCTTAGCCCTTCAAACTTGGATCACCCGACCCTACGAGAGCCCCCTGAGCAGTCCTCCTCCTCCTCCCTGCTTCGCTCAGGCAGGGCATCTCCGTAGCCGTTCTTCAAATGCTTCGTTGGAGGGAGGCCTTAGTGGGCATGCAGAGGGGGCAGGATCTGGATTTGGGGTTAAGGGCTTTGGGTCTGCGGCTACGGCTTTTTGGGCGCATCGACTTAGGCCCGTCAGATAAAGGATGCGGAACCCATTAGGTCAGCAATGGAGAGGTTTCCACAAGCAATCTAACAATGCCGATGATATTTGCGGTGGCATTGACTGACGAGGACGACGGTGATGATGATGTTGATGATGATGATGACGACGATGTCTTTGAGGTCCTGATCACTCAAGTGTAGTCAGACAACACTTTCAGTGCTGTTCTTACCTTGTCTACCATTCGAACAGTACCTACATCTGTGAGCTCGAAACAACCAGCTCTCCCGAAGCTTCTGCATGCTTCGGCCAGGTTTGCGAGCAGCTCGTCGGAGCCCTGATTTCTCGAGAGCCGAGGGCCGGTTGTCCTTTGAGAACCCCAGAGAGTAGGAATCGAGTGGTCCAAGGGCTCAGTAAGCCCTAATCTCAATCAGCCTCAAAGTGCGAATCTCGCGCTCAAAGGCACGTTTAAATTCTGCCGTACCCCACGGCTTTGACATCAAGTGGAAGCCACGAAGCTGTTCAAAGGCGGTCCTATGCTACTCCCGAAGTAGAGGCTTCCATTGAGAACTGAGGTTCTGAGGTTTGAGGTTGGCTGGAGGTTCATGGCCTCACCTGATGATGCTTCCATACGACGAAGTACATTCCTCTCTTAACAAAACCGACACAAGGCTTAGGAAATGATGCCACTACTAGTGACATTCCCTTATGTTTTTGGAAATGCCAGTAGTCCGTACTTGCAACAAGAAGCCATGAGGTGGTTCATCTCAAGCTGCAAGTTTGGTTGACGGGTCAAAGGCTGCGCCAGGCCGTTTTCATTATAAGGGAAAGCCATCGCGACGTCGGTACTGTCAGGTCACGCACCCTTACGGCCAACTCATGATGACATAGATTTTTGGATCTAGCCTTCGGAGCCTTTCTGGCGAGGCCAGGATGCCAATGCCCATGCCATCGCACCCTCTTTCAAAAACATAAGATCAATAGCAAGCGTGGGTGGGGGGTCCTGGCCCCCATACTGGTGCTCAATAGCAGTGAGTCGGTCGCCAGTAGCAGGAAGCCCAGGGCTGAAGAAAGAGGTTATTGTGTAATGGAGGAGTGGAAGAAGAGCAGTAAAGCGATCCGCGCAGCACGAGGAAAACGAGCGGGAAGGCGGCACACCCTGGCGTAATCCGCTTGGCTCCTACCGCTGGTTGACAACACTGCGCGACCCGGCCGTGCTTGTCATGTGCAATTGGGACAGTCACATTTCAGAGCTAGGAAGTTCAGCGACGCTTTGCTTTTGATACTGAAGGTAGGCAGGAAGTAGCATGTCGGAGCTTTCTCAACCGACATGTCAAGTCTGGGATGCTACTCCTCTGAGCACACATGTCCACTGGCCCGCCCGCATAGACTAGAGCCTCTCACGGTCCAGGGGTTGGCTGGTTGAGTCCGTAGACGCTTAGGATCAGGCCGAACCGCTTCAGCTGGCTGTATAGGCAATTGGCTGGGATGTAAGCTTTCGACCTCTTGACAGGCCACTACCTCCGGTCAAAGAGTGCCCCAGCCACCCCTGCCGGTGGGGCCGAATCCTACCTCGATCGAGGCTGCTGCTGGGGTTTCGTTGCTTGCGGTGCGGGATCGTAGTCCGTTTTTGTACCTAGCAGCGAGGCTGGGTGAGATACGATGCTGAACTCGAACAGTACTTCAAGTTCGAGCCTAGTACACCATCGTCAGACGGTCGGGACAGCGTTTAGGGTTTGCCTTCAGACTTTGTAGGGTTCAGGATTTAAAATACGACCTGCTGGCGATCAGACTTTGCCACCCGACATCTTTTTCTGGGGTGTAGGTAAGCCCTTCTTTTCGGGTTTGCCTTGTAAATTTGAGGGCTCAAGGTTCGCCCCATACGACCTTTCAGGGTTTAGGACCACCGAATATCCTCTTTTGGGATTCGGGGCTTATTAGGATTTAGGGCTTGCACCGAACATCTTCTTTCAGGGTTTCAGGGTTTACGGCTTCTTTCAGGGTTTTGGACTTGGCTCACGACCTTTTGGAATTTGAGGTTTGGTTTATGAGCTTTTTAGGTTAGAAGGTTTGCCTTTTTCCAGGGCTTGGGGTTTGGTTCTGGGGTTCGCCACTCAGTTTTAGGGTTTAGTTTGAGGGGGATTTCAGGTATGGCCTTTTCGCGTTTATGGGTTTGCCACCGGACATGTTCTGTTTGCGTTTAGGGCTTCTCTGCGATTGAGGGTTTACACCGGACGTCTTCTTGAGGGTTTACGGCTTCTTCTGCTGTTTTGGATTTGGTTTACCCGTCAGAGTTTCAGGTTTGGGTTGTGACCGCTTTGGGATTGTTTGCCGCGCAACAATCTTTAGGGTTTTTGGTACGACCCTGTAGGGTGAACCTCTTACGGCTTCTGTTGAGTTTGGGTTTGCCGAATTGGTGTTTAATTTCTAAGCTTTTCGGGTTTAGTCTTAACGTTTGCCAGTGCGTTGCCACCCAGTATCTGTTTTAGGGTTTAGGGTTTGTTTACGGTCTCCAATTTAGTTAGGGTCGTGGTATGACTGTATGCGTGTTCAGTGTAGTATTGAAGCCTTGGTTCTCATCTACAAGTTTGCCACGGAACATCTCCTTTTTGGGTTTAGAGCTTCTTTGCGGTTGAGGATTTGCACCGAGCACCTTCGTTTTAGGGCTACGGCCTCTGCCACTGTTTCGGATTTGGTTTGACCGAACATCTTTTTTTAGGGTTAAGTCTTTTTGGCTTTAGGATTTGCCACCCGACCAGGGGTTTGGTTTTGGGGTTCGCCGCCCAACATCTTCTGTTGGGTTTTCGGGTATGGCCTGCTGGCATTTAGGGGTTTGCCACCGAACGTCTTTTGTTTGGGTTTAGGGCTTCTTTGTGATTGAGAGTTTGCACCGGGCATCTTCTTTTAGGGTGTACGGCTTCTTTTTTGTTGTGGGTTCGCCGCACGGTCTGTCCGGGTTTGGGGTTTAGTTTATGAGATTTCAGGGTTTTGGCATAAGGTTTGCCGCCTTCTATCTTCTTCCCGACCACCTGTAGCAGGAGTCGTCACCACATAGGGTAGTACTGGCCTTCGCAGTACTAGTTCTAATTCAGACTAGCAATAACACTACGTTGTAACATAAAGAATACACGACAAGGAAACGACGGATCACGAAGAAGAAACAATCACGGATTGCAGAAGAATCAGAGACAAAGGTAACCTAACTTCCTGCCATAGTTGACATCTGGGTTCAGGGGGGTTTCTTCGTATGTTTGGGGTTTGGTGGTGAGTTGGGAGGTGCTTTGTGCTTCAGGCATGTGTAAAGGGACTTTTGGGAGGTTTCAGGATGCCCTGCCACCTGGAGGTCACTACGTCCTATCTATGGCTGGGTTGGAGCTAGGCGCAACCGCCACCCAGGGACTGAGCGAAACTTTTCTTCACGCTTCGACATCTAGCCTGAGGGCGCGTGTGGTTCCTGAAACGAGAAACTTCCCTTGAACACACAAGATGCAAGTCTCGTCATGAGCATCGTGCTGAAGTCCAATGCAAGACCTGGTAACAGCAGGAACACGGCACTTCGTGCCCTGAAGCCCTGGTCAGCCGAGCAGCGATGCAATGATTCTGCTCAAGCATTCATCGGTGTACAGGGCGGTGGCGCAATGTCTTTGCCTGCGATGCTTGCTAGGAGGTGGCATGGACATTCGACTGTAGAGCATACTACTTAATATCGATGACCATGACTCAGCGTCAGGATAAGATTTCCCTTACAGGTATGTAGAGCCACCGTAGCATCGACTGCTGCAGTTGTTGCTGTTTTCACTACTCAGCTTCCAATCCTGACGGCTGCGGCGAAGATGGCACCAAAGAAGGGCGGTCGAACCGAGCCGGCAAGTGCCTCCGGCGGTACGGCCAAGGATCAATCGGTGCTCTCATCGGATCATGCTGCCAATCGTTGCTAGACGTTAGATCTCCTGCAGCTTAAGTTATGGTTGATGAGCGGTTAGCTGGCGTGCTTTTGCTGCTGCTGATCCTTGCCAGTTCAGAAAGGTTACCGGATCTCGTTTCGGGCCCGTGACCTATGCGCGTGCACCCGCACCACTGGATGAGCTTTGGGTCTATAGAGATTCAGGAGCACTTCTGGAGCACTCTCAACGATGAGGATCGAAAGCCTCCTTGCCGCCTATACGAGTAGACCTGAGAGCTGGTTTATGCTGGCTTAGTGTAGCTCTGACCCAAGATGTGCGGACCTTCTGAAAGGTACCTGGTCTCTGTGATTGGATTGAGAGTTGAAGACTAGGACGGAGGGGCCCGCAAGGAACTAACAGCCCGGGTCGGGTTCCAGCACTGACTGAAGCCTTGAAGTTTCATGCAGCGATCACCTCGGAAGCCGCTTTCCCCTTCCAGCCCTCAGCAGCCCCCTGTACAGCCCCCAAGCCGAGGCTTGCCACGGCCTATGATTGCGCCACACCGCAGCAGCTTGAGCAGGCGAAGAGTAAGAAGAAGGCGCGCGTAGCTTTGGGACAGGTCTCGGGATGCTGACAATACATGGCCTGTTTCGGAATGGCCTATCTGGAGGCGACAAGCTGATGAGATGCGTTAACTTTTATAGAAATGCAACTTCAACAATTTTTGGGGATAGGTTTCGGTGTGCAGGCTATGTATAGACCGTGCGCTACAAGGTTACGGCATGGAAGCGGAAGTTTGCCATCATGAGACAACAGCAGGGGAAGATGCGAGTCATCGTTCGTGACAGCAAGTTCAACGACGTCTTCATCCTCATTTCCTCTTACATCGTCTCGGTCATCGTCATCGCTAGCTAAAGTACAGAGCACATCTTGGTACTGACAGTTGAGAGTCATGTCAACATCCTGTTCATAGAAGCTCCGGCCCAAAAGAACACCAGTACGCTTATGGATATGACGAGCAACTTTGTGTTGCCAAGCTGCCTTGTTTCATGCGGTGAGTATGGGAATGACTCTGGTGTAGTAAAAGATAAAGTTGTGGTCTGCTTTGAAAGACACGAGATGCGGTGATACATGATGACGCACCATATGTGCAATCGCCTGTGCTGCACTGTGATGGGCACTGAAGTCGGCTAGAGCGAAGTGCTGAGGAATGTAGCTCAACCCCGCACCTTGGCTTCTCCCCCAAATTCCATCAGGCCCCGCTTTGTGCAACCTGTACCGAAGATCCCACCTTGGCTTTCACAGGCGCAAGAAGCCAAGGCGCAAGAACAGCAGCGTCAGACTTTGAGACAGAATGAGCGAAATCGGCAGTGGGAGAAGGACCCGCCTTCTGCTCGCTTGGCTAAGTTGAGACGCTGTGGGCTATTGTGGGCTCTCAGCTTCCAGCCTTAACTCACTACACTAACACAAAGATAAGGCGTCTCGGCTTACAGTCCTTTCGCATGTGCATGGTGGTTTTTTCAGGATGTACTTCGCAAGCTTGGCATGGTACGTTCTTGTTTCACAATTTTTGCTTCGGGGCTACTCCGCCCTTCAGAGATCAGCGGGCTCCCAAAGGGCTACCCCGCTACTCCGCACGCCAATGTCGGGGCAGACGGAGCAGGAGCGGTTGGCGCGTCAGTTGGCGCTAGCATCGCGCCAGTACAGCGAGCAGGCGGAGCTCACGGCGCAGCCGGTCTACTCCGCCACGCAGACCTTGTTTTTTGAGGAGAGGCGCGCCAATAAGCGAGGACCGCCAACGCCCTCTATGTCGTCGATGGGCACGCCGGGAGGACCTATGGGAGTAGGAGGTGCACAGAACACCCCGACTACTCCGCAAGGCCGGCAGTCGCTTTTTCAGCCCATTCCGCTCGACCAGGAGGCTTCTATTCAGGCCACGGCCTTTGCAGCAGGAGTGGCGGCCAACGACCCGGCCAATGTGAAGCGTTGGTTGGGGGAGGCGATTACTACGCGGCAACAGGTTCTGGAGACGGTTCGCCATTACCATACCGCAGTACTACGCCCAGAGCTGTACAATATGATCACCCAGGTTGAGCATGCTTTGGTGGCTTTCGACGACCGTCTACTCCGCCAAAGCAAGGAACTGAGCTGGATGGTCTCGGAAAATCGTACCACGCAAAGGCAGCAGGCGGCACTGGTCGTCATCCTGACAGGGTGGTCTAACACTATGCCACCAGAGGACAGGCTCTACATGGTCACCTGGTTGCTACAGCAGGTCACGGCAGTTCGACAGTTTCTGCAGACGAGAGGCTACAAGCTGGACGACGACTCCGCCGACAAGGTTTGGCTAAACAGCCTTACCACAGACCCGTCCACTCCGCCAGCAGGAGAGGGGAAATGGAGCAATAGAACTTTGATCCATTTCAAGAGTTGGGACCTTCGCCGTGCTTTCATGGAGCACCATGGAGGGTCTTCTGGAGTACCCCTTTACCAGGATGGGTCTACTCCTATTCGGGGCCACCACATTCGAGCAACACCATCGTCACCACAATTCCAACGAAAGCTCGAGATACCCATTCGGGTTATCCTGCAGGCCCTCAATGTGCAGTCTGGGCAGCCTTCTCAGGTCGTTATCCTGTGGAAAACCTTGACCATAATGGCTCCACAGGAGGTCAGGGCTTTTGATCCCCAGATCAAGGCGATGGCAAGGCTCCACTACTACTCCTCCGACGACAAGCTCCAGGGCACACTCGAGATCACCACGGACCTCTTCGAGATCCTCAATGCTACTCCGCCAGCTGAGCTCATGACCGATGAGCCCAGCATCTGGACTTACTGTTGGAACAAGGTGGTTTTCGGCCCGCAGCACGAGTTGGACGTTGCTGAGAGGGGCCTTTTTAAGAATGCTGCAGGAGCGGCCAAAGGCAGCTCCAAGGGCATCAGTGTTGGGAAGGGTGGTCGGCATTGGACGGCCCCTCTCATCTACTCCGCCCAGCTCAATCCCTTCCCGATTGATTTGTACATTTCCAAGGTCTCGGACGTCGCTTTTGTATGGGATGAGTGCTGCGACAAGTTCAAGGAGACCAGCTCCAAAGTGGGCAGCTACAAGCAGGCTACTTACCAAGGTGCACCTGCTCACCTTTTGGTGGCCAGGCAGTGGCTGCAGTTGCTCCTCGAGGCCGCCCCTTTGAAATTTTCTGTTGAGCCAGAGCGCGGAGCGTTTGAAAGTTTTCTACTCCGCCGCCGGCTCAGGCAAGCCTCGGGTCGAGCGACCCAGTTTCCCAGGGCATCCGAAGGATGGTACCCTAATCCTAGGCCCTTTTTTGAGTTTGGTTTTAAGCTTGGTTTTAGTCTCCCCACTCCGCCAAAGATCCCTGGATACAGACCTCGCGGTTGCACCTTCTTTTTTCGAGCGATCGCCGATTGGAGGGCTACTCCGCAACAAATAGGTTGGAACCGGGAACCTATAAGGCGTAAGGAGCATAGGAGAAAACCACGCAAACACTCCGCCCAATCTAAATCCCCTCAACTTTGGCATATAGCAAGACTTTACTGTGTTGCTGTATTTGCCGTTTACTACTACACCGCCTTAAATAGGAGCACACTTCCCATTGTCATAGGGGACGCAGCCATTGTATACTCCACTAGTTTATCGGTGCTTAACTGCCTAGGCGGCCTTCCGAGAGTACTCCAATGCCTACGCAATAAACTGCAACACTCCCTTAACGGCAACCACGACCCTCCCACAACCTTACTGCTAGACAACCTCATCCCGACTACTCCGCAAGACGCGCCCACGAATCCCTTGAGCCCTGAAAAAATCAAGCTTTCAAGGGAATTCCTGTTGGAGTTTAGAGCTACCCCAGCCTCACAGCCCATTATTTCTCTAGGCCCCCGACCTAAATTCAGAACTGGTAAAAGGAGGGTTTTTCAGGGACAGGACGGTGTTAAACACTTCTTCTCCCACAGACCACTCCGCACTTTTACTGGCACACGCCACCCCCGCAGACCTTTTAATTCATCGAATTCGTTTGTAAAGGATAAGGCCACACCGCCTCCCAGAGGCACGCCGGGAGCTGCCACGGCAGCAAACAAAGAGTGTTTGCCCCACCCCCCCCCTCCCAACATTCCTTCTTTAGGAAGGGGCACCAGAGTACGCCGCGAGCGGCGACGCCGCTACCGCCAATGGCGTAAGCTCTTGAAGGAGACCATATTGCCAACGGCGCCGGACAACGCGTTGGTAAGGAGGGGGGCGTCCTTGAAAGCAGTACAAAGCTTTCGCCGAAGAGGTCACAAAATGGCTAAATTGTTTCGCGTGCTTGTGGACAAGAGAGAGTCGAAGGGCAAATTTCAGGGAAAGCCGCAGACTACTCCGCAAGCTACTCCGCCAATCCCATATGGAACCCCCCTGAGGGTAGGAACTCAGAATGTTCAGGGAATGGCAGAACTACTGAAACATGAAGCTGTTTTAGGATTGGTTAGGGATAGATCCCTGGACTTACTATTCCTTTCCGAAACACATGCCACCACATACCATCAATAGAAATCCTCAGGACACCTTTTTATAGTTAACGGTAACAACAAAGACAAGTACGGAGGAGTTACCGCAGTCCTACCACCACGCACCCTACCTTTCCTGAAAAGCATCACACAACATGGCAGTAGAATCCTGGAAGTAGTTCTTAGCTCTAGCTCCGGAGACAAACACTTCATAGGAGTCTACGCCCCCCACAATAAACGGGATCAGGAAACCTGCAAAGCCCCATTTTGGACTCACTTGGAAAACATTGTCAGTAACATCCCCCAACCTGAACCCGTTTATATTCTTGGGGATTTCAACGTTCGACTTCAAGGGCGCTACAAGGATGAAACCGATTTTCTAGGTCCTTATGTGTACGGTAAAGGTCCTCTACACATTCGTAATGAAGAAGGCAGCAACCGACGCTACTACGCCGACCTCCTTAGAGGGGAGGGACTTAAGGACATCTTAACTTTTAAACAACCCAACCTTACAAAGCACGTCACTTATCGAGATAAGCACCCGCCCCCTACAGATTGGCTCCAATTTGCTAGCGACCCCATAGGATGGACCCAGTTCTGGGATAAAATATATAGTCTTCCTCAAGCAGATCCAGACAATCTTTGTCTCGCGCAGCCAACATCAGAGACTACATTACGGATTCATGGCCCATACCGGCACAGCTACTCCGCCCACAGGTTGACCCCTTGAGATTTCAATCCCTAGACAGAATGGTCACTAGACAGAAGTGGCTACCCACAGTATTATCCTGCCAAGCCTTCCACAAATCAGGGTTTCCCAGTGATCATTACCTTCTAGAATCCACCATACGGGTTAAGCTTTCTGCCCGCCCGCCTCCAGTCCTCCTGCCCCCTAAGCGAGACTACTCCGCAGTCACCCCACAACAATGCAAACATTTCAACCAAAGCTTCCGTGTAGCTATGGGCCACCCTTCCCCAGACTACTCCGCCACTTCTTCTTCCCATTGGGAAATTTACACAGATGGCTCGGGTTCCTCCGGCAGGTGTCTGCGAGTTCGTCCGCGCGTTCATTGTATTCGTTGCCGCTGTGACCCTTGATCCAATGCCAGTGTACGGAGTGTTTGGTTTCTAAAGTTGTGCAGATGTCCTTTGCTATTTTAACCATTGTTTTGTGACGCTTGGGTCTGGTGTGACCGCGCATCATATCTGCTGCCCATTTGCTGTCATAGTGAAACGTTATAGTTTGTGGCGGAGTAGTCAAAGAAAGGATGTGCAAAGCCGCTTCCATTAAAGCACTTAATTCACCTGTGTTGTTGCTGCCGACGACTGCTCCTAAATAGTATACTGAGCGCGTGTCCGTGGTGACCGGACCGTGTGAGGTGGCTATTTCCTCGTCGTCTTCTATGATAGCGTAACCCCAACCTGCGGGAGTAGTAGCCGACCGCATCACGCCCGACAGGAGGGCGATCCTCGCTCCCTCATTTTGTACACCCCAGCAACCTCAACCTCACCACTCCGCCAGCGCTAGCGCAATCAACCGATGAGCTTTCAGCCCACCTAATCAGTTCCCTACAAGCCGCCGAACGCTCCACCCTCCCCCTTCTCGAACATCTCCCCAAACAGCCCTGGATTACTCCTCAACTAGCAGCCGACATAGCCAAGGCCAAACAACTGCGCGCCAACCTGGACCCCGAACATATCGCTTTTTACAAAGCCCTTAAACGCAAAGCACGCAAACTCAAAAGGGACTGGCTCAGAGACTCTTTTCTAGAGGATACTAACCTCAGCCACACAGCAGTCTGGACCAAGGCTCGACGCCTCAAAAAAGGATTCCAGCCTAGACACACCAGGCTCAAACACAACGGCAAACCAGTACCGTGGCACAAAACCCACCAAACCTTTCGGGACCACCTAGACCACCAACAATGGGGAAAAACTACGGTCACCGCAGAAGAAAGAGCACTTCTCGCTGAATCTCCGCAGATCAAACCTCCCGCTACCACTCCGCCCTGCTCATTCACACATGAAGAATTAACCGAAGCTATCCAGCAGCTGCGCAAAAACAGAGCTCCAGGATTAGATACCCTCAGAGCCGACTCCATCAAACTGCTAGATCACTTTGGGGAAAAACAGCTACTCCGCCTCTACAACGCCTGCTTACGCCAGGGTAGAATACCTGCTGCATGGAAGGAGGCCCTTGTCGTCAGCATATACAAAGGTAAAGGCCCCACCTCAGACCCTGCCTCATATCGCCCTATCAGCCTCCTCAACGTCTTTTATAAAATTTACGCAGCAATGCTTCAGAAAAGACTAGCTGAGGCGCATGACCACTCACTTCGCCACACGCAGTTCGGCTTCCGCCGAAACAAAGGAACAACGCAACCACTTTTCATCCTGCGCCGCCTCCAAGACTACTCCGCCAAAACAGGCCAACCATTCCAGTTGCTGTTTTTAGATTGGAAGCAAGCCTTTGACAAGATCGACCATGAATCTATGCATATAGCACTACTCCGCCTTGGGGTTCACCCCGTTTACCTCGAAGTCATTAAGGATATGTACACCTGCCCTACCTTTTGCACCTCTGCTCCTGATGGTACTAAGCACTGGGGTACTCCGCACACAGGGATTCGGCAGGGATGTCCACTTAGCCCTTATTTATTCATCATGGTAATGACAGTACTCCTTTCAGACGTTGACGCTAGACTTCGAACCCATGGCGTTCCACAAAACACATGGTCGGTAGGCAAGCCCATTTACGATTTAGAGTACGCGGACGATACTCTACTAATGGGCGTCACGGGCGCACAATTAGAGGAGATCCTGAAAGCTGTCCAGGTAGAAGCTACCCTTTACGGTCTGCAGCTAAACTTAGAGAAAACCGAGCTACTCCGCCACCCCACTCAGCCAGGTCAACTTCATTATGCAGATAACTCTCCTGTCCCCTTAAATTCCGAAACCAAGTATTTAGGATCACAGGTTACTTGGGACAAGCCAACCAAAGCCGCAATCGCAGCTAGGTCTATTAAAGCACACGCGGCCTTCCTAAAGCTCCAACATGTATGGCAGAGCAGACTACCCCGCCCAGTAAAATCCAGAATCTTCCACGCCTGCATCGTCCCAATATATACGCACGCCTTGGAAACTCTCACCCTTGAAAAGCACCACTTCCGAACCATCGACGGTTGGTATTTTAGATACCTCAGAAGAGCCATCAACATCAAAGCCTCATGCTACTCCCGGATCCCCAACAAAACCGCATGGGAAAACTCAGGAAAACATCTTATCCCTTCCCAAACTCTTCTATCGCAACAGTTCAAGCTCCTTATACAAGCCACGACTACTCCGCCACACCTCCCCCAACATCATGTAGTATTCTCCCCCGGGTACAAAGATCGCATTAAATTTACTAAATCAAGGCACAGAGGCCATCCCGCAAGGTATTGGTTCGAACTAGTTTCTTCATATGCGTTAGAATACTTGAACCACTACCTAGACCACTCCGCCCAATATAAGGATCATAGAAGGGATTTCTTAGGCTTCAAACAAATGCTTCAGAAAAACAAGCTCTTCGGCGATCGCTTGAGTACTGCGCCTACGCGCGCTTCGCATATTTTCCAGTTGTACAGAAAGACAGTCGGCAGCGCTTGGCACTCCTTTATCACAAAGATACGTGGAGTAGGACAGCGCAGGAGACCTGTAAAGCCTGATCCACAAGTTCCATCCCGGCATTACGGACAGCCTCCAATGCTTGACAGCCTTGGGTTCGAGCTTGAGTCACCGCAGGACGAGCAGAAGAAGCAGAGAGAAAAAGCCCGGGAGGAGAGCCACATGGAGTGAATTGGGATCCAAGGAGGAAGCCCTGTTTGAGACTCGAGATAATGCCTCATTGCAGCTATCAGGCTTTAGCATAAGTAGGCGGCGTGTAGCGGCTTTAGCTGTATCTGTTTGTAGGTTTCAACACCTATTGGAAACCAGCTCACGGGGGACGATCTCATGCCGTGCGACAGGTCAGGGTGGGTGGCGTGAAGTTGTCAGGAGTGGCAGCAGGGGTTTGCACGCACGCACACACACGCACACACACAGTCACACACACAGTCACACACACATTCACACACACACACATTCACACACACATTCACATTCACACACACACACACACACACATTCCACACACACACACACACACAGACACACAGACACACAGACACACAGACACACAGACACACAGACACAGACACACAGACACACAGACACACACACACACAAACACACACACACACAACACACACACACACACAGACACACAGACACACACAGACACACACACACACACACACACAGAACACACACACACAGACACACAGACACACACACACACAGACACAGACACACACACACACACACACACACACACACACACACACACACACACACACACACACACACACACACACACACACACACACACACACACACACACACACACACACACACACACACACACACACACACACACACACACACACACACACACACACACACACACACACACACACACACACACACACACACACACACACACACACACACACACACACACACACACACAGTAAATAAGCCATCGAGACTTCGAGTCACCCCAGCACGACCCAGGCAAGCAGGCTGCCGATTTCGACAAAGTGAAGAAGCGCGCCTTCGCTGAGAAGGTCGTTGAGGCTTCTTCCACCAAGAATGATATACCACACAACATTTGAAGCGCTGTGTCGTGCTGCAGTTGTCGTTCCCTTGGATCGATGGTTTCGAAGTGGATGTAGGAGTCGAAAGCCAAGAAGGCAGGACGACGCATGTTTCGTCGTCACAAGCACTTCCTGTGCGATTTTCAGCACTTCGCATCCTAGTTCGTTTCGTTTCCAGGGTTTTACACATAAACTGAAACGCGGAGTGGCATACAGGTGGTTCCATACTTCACCCATTACATGGCTGTTGTGCGGGGCAGTCGGGTTTTCCACGCACGCGCTCAAGGATTTCGGGCAATTTGGTCCGCTGGTTAATGTTCCGGTCTTATGCCTTGCGTGGCTGCAAAAGCTTTTGACTTGCACCCCGACAGGCATACTGGGACGGGGACAAATGCTATGTGGCGTGGCCGCATGTGGCCGCAAAAGCAGGACAGTCGGTTCTTCCATTGAAGCATTTGTCGCACAGAGATGAGTATGTTCCATTTGCATGCTACCGGTAAGAAAGTAAGTGAACATCGGCTAATTTTGCTTGTTTCCGCAGTTAGCAGCGGTTTCAGGCTGCAAGTTTTTAGTTGTACATTTGGTGTCCAATTGGCGATGGCGGCCATGGAAGCTTTCTCTTCCGAGATTCAGATGTGCACGAAAAGCACCTTCGTGCATTGCCAGGGCGAGAGCCAAGCGGAAGACGCGCCAATGACCCGATCAGTTTCATGTCCAGCCGTCATGACGGACGTCGAGACACCCCTGTGGCCACAGGCCCACGCTCCCATGGCAAACTCATCCTTTGATGACGGTGACGGCAGGTCAAGCTCACTCAGCTCTCCGCACCACGTCGGCTCCCAGACCAACTCCCCATTCAACCACGGTGGAGGCATAATCGGGATCGCGGTGCCAATCGTGCTTGCTTCGCCAGTCGTGGTCCCGGTGATACCACAGCAAGCTTGCCAGATGTTTGAGACCCCGTCCATGCAGCAAGCGTGGATGCCACCCGCTGAGGTTGGTCTTTCGGAACCAGCTGGGCGTGTGTTGGACCACAGCATAGTCCCGATGCCTGCTTCCAGCTCCCAGGCAGCACAGGCAGCGCGGCCTGCAAGTGCCGAGCAGGGCTCGAGGGCCCCCAGCAAAAACTCGGCCAATCAGAAGCGGATCAACAGAGAGCTTATCGTAGCCGGCAGCAAGAGTGGTCTCGACGTTCTGAAGGTGGTCGCAACGCACCTGGAACAGATGAACGGCGTGAATTTGGCTACGGCTTTCCACCGCGTCTCCCAGGCGCCTCAACACGAAAGAGAAGAGCTCTTGGCTAGCTCCGCCTTCAGATGCATGCTGGAGGTGGCGGAGTGCTATGCTGAGCAGGAGCTGGCAAAGAGAGATGCTTCGCTGCCGGCGAACTGCTGCACCATCGTTGCCTGGTCCTGCGCTCGGCTGAAGGTTTTCCCTCCATCGCTTTTGGTGAAGTTGGTTGCCGTGGCGACGCCTGAGCTGGGAAGCTGTCAGTCTTACGAGATCACGAATTTGCTGTGGGCCTTTGCAGAGTTTCACAAGTACGAGCAGGACGCCGCTTCGGCCCTGGACCCGAATCTCGGGGCTTTGGTGGATGCCGTGGCAGATGCGTTCCGGCTACGAAGTTTTGGTGACTTCAAGGTGCAAGTCCTCACCTCGGCCTTCATGTCCATCAGCGCATTTCCCTGGGACCCGAGCTTCACGAAGACCTGGATCCTCACAAGCACCTTCCAGGAGCTTGTCTCACGCTGGCAGGAGGTGGCACTCGAGGGTCAGGCACAAGTGGTGCTCGCACTGAAGCGGCTAAGTGTCAAGTGCAATCCTTTGTACAGAAGTCTCGTGAGTAATGCGGGCGGGAAGTTTCCAGCCGTCATGATCTCACTGGAGGCTCATGGTCTGAAAGAGTGAGTCCAATCGCCGAGGGGACAATTTTTTGTGACTAGTCTTCTCGCGATTTAATAGTCTTCGTGCCCTTTACAATCCTGGCAGCGTGCAATGCGCACTGAATACACCATTTTTTAGTTGCCCCTATGTGGCAGCATACCCCTTCCCAGTGCGCAAACGATTGCCTGATAAATATTTAGATGTTTTACAACCTCGACCACCTGGCATCCTTAGCATTTCGAATTCAGATTTGCCTCGGGTATGCAAAGCTCAAACTGTGCAAAGTGATGTCGGGTTGTTTTCTTCCACAGGCCACTTAGACAACCTTCCAATTTTTGCCGTTTTCTGCAACGCCGGCCGTGCGGCCAACGTTTCATGATGGCCTCGGTAATTAGTCATGCTGCGACCAGTCAGGTGACGTTGGCCTTGGTAAGTCATTCGCTTGGATTCTGAATGTCGGATCTTACGGCTACTGGCTTTAAAGAAGAAGGCTGACGTCAACAGCAACGACAACAACAATGCTTGTTGTTGTTGCATGCCAAGCTGGCTTCTATGTACAGAGCATGCCTTTTGGGCGGCTTTGGGCTTGGGCCTCTTGAGCCTGGAGGCAAGAGAATGCGTCGAAGCCCCGTGCGCTTCTTAAGGAACCATTGATGGACCTTTTTTGGCATTCTCCTGGCTCCACGCGAGTCTTTACAACAGGTTGGCCCTGCAATCCCGCAGAAACCTCAGTATACAAAAATCGTTTCGGCATGAATTCGGTTCAAGTCTCTGCATTCAAATTCAGGCGGTCCCTTCCACGGCATTCTTGAAGCACTCTGAGGGGTCGAAGCCGAAGGCCCGAAGGACGAAGCCTTGCAATGGGTTCCCGAAACGAAGAGCAGTTCCGAGCCCCCCTCCCCCCCTCCGAGGCCGAGATTGGGCCTGGCACGTGGAAGGACATCCGCGGTGCGGTTGGAGTTTGAGAGCTTAGGGGGGAGCGGGGTGTTTAGGGGTTTTCAGTGGCAAAGAGCCCAGCAATGAGCTTTAGCATAGCTTTCGAGAAATCTCGGCCAGACAAGCTCTGTAGCCGCCTACAGGAAACACATGCAACAGAGGCATTCAATCATGTCGGTGCATGAAGCAATTTCAGAGCAAAAAATGAGCCAATGGTACAAATGTGCTTAGGGGCCCCTTAGCCCCTTCCCCTTCCTTGCTCCCCCGGCCTGGCCCTGGCATCGGCATTTCCAGGAGGTGCAGGGCGAGTTCTTCTGCACGCTCTGTGAGAAAAGTCCCAATGGCGCCAGCCTGGAGCCTCCGGGCTCTGCATGGGAGTTTCAGGTTGAAAAGAAGGGTCTTCCTTGGAACGTCAGGGATTTGGAATGTCTACGGTCCCGCCTTTTTGGGGGTCAGGGTTTGACAGTGGGCTTTCAGGTTTCAGGAGGGGTAGGCTTCACTGCAGTAGGGAGACGGGAATCACGACATTCAGGTCCAAAAGCGATGTTTTCACAGCTGAAGCCCAAAGCTTTTTGTCTTCAAAAACATCGATTTCTCAGCCTTGAGTTCGGTGACGAGAGCCGCTGGGAGACCTTCGCTGAACAACAAGCCCTGTGTTTGCCGCCGTGAGGAGTCGCACCTCAACAGCGACAATCACAAGAAGACGCCAGGCTGTCGATCCTCCGAGGTTGGGGTTTCTGGCTTTTCCGTTCTCAGAGGCTTTTCGAATTTCCAGTCAAGAGTTCCAGATGACTCTGATTCGCGTGGCAAGAGAGAGGGAGAGAGAGAAAGAGAGAGCGAGAGAGAGAGAGATGAGAGAGACCGAGAGAAAGTGTCGACACGGCAGATGCGAGGAAGCCTGACGGACAGTTGAAAGCGGGACTTTCATCTCCTTGCTGCACCGGAGGGCACAAGAGCAGAAGGGCCTGCGCTGTCTGGCATGCCTTTGCGAAAGCTGATGTCTCCACTCCGATGCCTGAAGTCTGTCAAGTTACGGCACGAGGGTTTCGAGGGTCGCATGGAGCTGCCGGCTTTTACAGCATGTGTCGGGGAGCACCAGCACCCCACCTTTATGTACATGAAATTGCGCGAGGCACTTGTCAAGTCATTTCTTCTTCTGATAATCTCCAGAATCTCCATCACAAAACGTTTCCATGTCCGGCGGTGTTGCCAGTCGGTGTTCCAAGGAAGCTGGCTTGGGCCACTGGGGCCGGCTACACTGCTCCCGTGCCGGCAACCCCCATGGCCGCCGCCCTGCCAGCTACGCACTTTGCCAAACACTCTGTTGTCTCTGCAGCCGTTTTTGATGGATATTTGAGCCTTGTCAATGTCGGTAGGGTCCTGACTTTGGGTTCTCTGAAGTTAGGGTTTGGTGGCGCGTGCAGAGGTAAGAGCTAGACTGCAGACTCCGAAACCATTTTGGCTTTCGCCAACGACTTCAAGCCCAGGTGTGTGCCGGTTCCAGTCCTTCCAGTTCAGCAGGAGTGGGACGGAATGATGGAATCGGAGTTGAACTTCGGGGAGTGCAAGTTGCTTTCAGGAGTTCTCTGCCCTTTATCTTGCGAAACTATCAAGAATGGAAGGGCTTCAGCTGATGTTCCATGTCCATTTTTCTGCGGCATCCGCACCCTTCCATCATACGATGATCACCCGAACCCTAACCCCCCAGACAACACGCTCGCAGGTAGTAGCGATTTAGGGAAGCCGAGGCCAACGCAGTAAAGTGACGATAGCGAGAACAAGCCACAAGTTTCTGAGTTCTCTGGAGTCTTTTGTTGCTACGCAGGACCTGCCCAGCTGGCAACAGCTCGGGCCTGACGGCATGATCCGCTGCATTCCCTGCGGAAAGGCTGTTCAACGGCTTTTTGCTTACTTTTGGGATGGTATGGAGAAGTCTGCATGTAGTCAACGAAAGCACCAAAGGCTAATCGCTAAACCTGAAGCAACCTGCGTGCGTGCCGGGGCTTGCGAGGTAGCACGTGCAGCATTCATTTGCATGCAGACTATGGTGATGCCTCTTATTGCAGTTCAGATTCTGCATATGAATATAGACGTGTATGATCTTGATTACAGCTTTGTCCGTGGTTATCTCGTTTCTCGTTGTTCTTCCTAAGGCTTCCTCTGAGGATACCCTCTCTAATACAACTGCGAAGGATACTGCTATGATGGTTCGTGCGGAAAGAGTCATGGCCTTGATCTCTTGCCTCCTGTGAGGTGGTAGATGACAACCACTTGATGACAGGAGCAAGTCGTCTTGCGAGCGATTCGTTGGGGGGGGGGGAGGTTGTTCGGCAAAGCTGCAAAAATGAGTGTAGCGAAGCTTTTCTGTTCCTTCGCAGCACAGAGCGCGATACCAAGCCTCCGCCATAAGCGGTATGTGCACAGGATTGCTTTGCAAGTCCTTGACACTTCTTTCTGCGAGTGGTTTTCAGATGCGCATGAGCACGAACCTGATCGTCCTAATTACTTTGATTCGGGATTCGCGAGATCAGGTCAAATCTCTGTTATGACTGTAGAACGAGTTCTTGTGGGGACTGCCAGCATCTCATGTCGTAGGACAGTCGATGTTGATGCAAGACAACCTGCAAACCATGTAATGAGACAGTCAGGTGACTAAAACTCTTAAGCCCTAAGCCCATGACCCATGACCCATAGAGGCCTAGATCCGTATCCTGCTAGA